TAGATGGCTACAGAGGGTCTGGCAGTGGTGGGTGGGAAGGCAACCAGCCCTGGGGAAGAATGTTCTGGTGTGGGTTCATTTATGTCCCCACAAGAAGAAACATTAAAGTCCTCACTCCTGAACTGTGAGTGTGGCCTTATTTGGGAATAGGGGTTTTGCAGACATAATTAGTTAGGTTTTGATGAGGCCATAACAGACTAGGGCAGACCCCAAATCCAACAGAAATTCTTATAAGAGATGACAGTAGAAAGCTGATGACAGAGGTCAGAACTTACCCACCCCCTTTGCTGGCAACTGGACCCAGGGCCTCGTGCACACTAGGCAAATACTCCATCCCAGCCCTTGGAGACAGGTTGATGAGGCCACAAGCCAAGGAATGTAAGGACGGCTGGGAGCCACCCCATTCTAATAGAGATGCCTGGGACAGATTCCCCACAGAGCCTCCAACCCTGCTGACACCTCGACTTAGGACGTCTGGCCTCCAGAACTGGGAGAGAAGTATCTGTTTTAAGCCACCATATCGCTTTGATATGGAATCCCTCAGAAACAACAGAAATAGTCGTGTTCCAGGAGGGGAGTTAGCAAGTTCTGAGGGCCCCTGGGGTGGGCGCATCTCTGGCAGAAAAAAACCAATTGGCCAGTGTGACAGAAGCAAGGTGAGTGGGCGGACCACGGAGTGAGGGTTGATATTGGCGGTATCAGCAAGATTAGGGGGGACAGATCATGTAGGGCCACACCTGTGGCAAGCCTTTGATAAGAGGAGCTGTCACACTTTAGAGGGTTCCAGCTGGAGCGGGCTGCAGGGGTGGGTGCGGTTGTCCCCCATGATCTTTGTCTCCTGGTATAGTGGATACGATTCACTAACTGGCTAAAAGGAGATTCCATCAGCTGCTTTAGGAATCCGGGAAGACCGTCCTGATAACCGGCTGGGCCCAGGGTCTTCGTGGGAGCCCTGAGTGTGGAGAGGAGGCAGGAGGGTCAGGGAGAGGGACGCAGCTGAAGGTCGGGGCAGAGGAAAGACACACATGAAGGGACCTCTGCTTTCCCCAGCTTGGAAGATGAAGGAAGGTGGCCACAAGCCAAGGGATGAGGGCAGTTTCTAGATGGTAGGAACAGCCCTCAAGCGACAAGCCGGCAAGGAAATGAGGGCCTCCATCTGCCACTGCAAGGAACTGAAATCTGCCACTCACCTGAATGAGCAAGGTTCTCTCCAGAGCCTCCAGGACCCAGCCTGGGACGCCCTGATGTCAGCCTGCTGAGCCCCGTGTCAGATGTCTGACCGAGAGAGCGGCACACCAACAGACCCGTGTTGTTCTGACCTGCCAATCAGTGGTAATGTGTTCTGGCAGCCACAGAGAATGGAGACATGGACTCTTTCAGAGGTGGGGCGTGCAGAGGGAACATCCAGAAGAGACAGAGACTGGGACTGTACAGAAGGCAGACACCAGCGCTTCTATGGGGACAGCCTGCTGGGAGCCACCATGAGGCCAGAGTTCCCCAGACACTTCCCCGCCACCCACCTACCCTGCTCAGCATGTCCTCAGGCCCCTTGTTACCCGGATGTTGACCAGGCCTGCTTAGGGAGGCCCCAGGGCTCAGCCTCTAAGCCCTCCGGTCTGGCCAAGGAACAAACCCAGCAGGCACCCCCCATTCTTTAAACCTCCCCTCACGCTCCTCCCCATAGGGCCAGTGGCAGCTAATGACTGAAGGCTCTGCTACTGTGCAGGTCACACCTGCTCTGAGGTTGGATCTGGGCTCTGACTTCTCCCTAGAACAGGTGTGCCTCAGTGTCATGCACATGTACACACACATACACACTCACAGAGCCCAGTTTCCTATGCTCTTCCACCCAAGTCCTCATGGTGAAGAAAACCTGCTGCTAATGGTTACCAGGTATTGGATACTAACTCACATTAGGCACTGTAACAAGTGCTCCACTTACATAATCGCATTTAATCCTCCCTGTAATGCCATCAGGTGAAGACTATCGTCTCAGAGAAGTTAGGATGTGTGCCTCACGTCACACAGTTGATAAGTGGTAAGTTCAGAACTGGAACTGAGGAGTTTCTGAATCCAAAGCCAAGGCTCTGACCCTTGCTACTCACTACAGTCCAAGGACCAACAGCATCAGCCTCACCCATGCTAGGGATGCTCACTGAGAGACCTGCCAAGTCAGAAGCGGCCTGTTGTCAAATTCCCGGGAGATTCAGATAGTGGTTGCATACTAGTGCAAACCATAATTTTCCATAGCTTACTGGTCCCCAATTCTTGTAACTGGCTCCTTCTCCATCTCTCAAGGCCCTTGCCCAACTGCTTAGCTGTTGCTCCCCAGGTGGGAAGACCTCTGCCCAGCTTTGGGGAAGAACTCTGGACCTGGGGCTCAGGGGGAGTCTCCAGGCCCCTGCAGTCAGCCTGGGCTGCAGCTGCACAATATCAATCCACATCTGGCCCTCTGCAGGGCATCCTGCCTGCTGCCTGAGACGCTCCTGGCCCCTCCCTCGTCTGCCTCTGTGACACAAGTCTCTGGGCCTCTGAAACAGGCCTCTTGGCCATCACCAATTCCTGCAGTGTTTCCCCTCCCAGACATCTTGTGTCCCCTTCCCACTCCTAGAAGGCCCTCTGAGTCATGTCACTCCTCTATCTGGACACACAGGGCCTGTCCAAGTTGCGATCCGGAGAAAGGCCAACGGCTGCTTGGGAAACCTGGCCAAACTCACAGGAAATGTCTGACACCACCCGGCAAGTGGGATTTGGCCTCCCAAATCAAAACACAGCTGAGCCGACAGCAGCCGCCGGCTCGGACTTTCCCAGATTTCATGGCATGGAGGCCCCAGGGCAGAGCGGGAGAGGGCTGGCCTGGAGGCTGCAGCTTATTAAGAACATCACAGTAGCCTCTGGCCAGGGAGCCTGTGAAAGTCAGAGAGGACGGCCCTGCTGTGGGCCCCCACAGTGCTTTACACACAGGAAATCATCCTTGAGGACTGAGGCTCACACTCAACCTCCCAGCCATTTATTTATTCATTCAGATTATATCGACTGAGCACCCATGGTGTGCAAGGCACAGTGGTAGGTGCCAGGGACACATTCATGAACACTCAGGACTGTCCCTGCTCTCGGGGAGCACTTGGTCCTATGAGCAAATGGACAGAGCATCCCAAGATGAGTGAAAAGGGCCACACAAGGGCAGCATGGAGCACCTCCCTGGGGACCAGCAGAGTGTCACCTTCTTTTGCCCTCTTAGCAGCACCCTGGATGGTGCCCTGGGTTCCAGGTTCAAGCTGAGGGTTCAATAGAAGAGGGCCTTTCTGTTAGGCTAACTCTATAGTTTGAAGCAAGTATCAGCCCCACATAGTTTAGGGGCAGGTGCAGGGCACAGACACTCCCCCATTGTGCTAGTAAGGAAGTGCTGCAAGGGGGCAGATAGCAGGGTGGACAAGGTGGGGGGAGGCATTTGAAAGAAGTGGACTTGGGCCTTGAAGGGTGGGGAGGAGTTGGGTGGAGTGGACAAGGGGACAGGAAGCATCCAATGGTTCTGATTCAGGGGCACAAGGGGTAGTGTGACTTGCCAAGTAGCATGAACATGCATATTACACATTAATAAATCCCACAAGCCGGAAACTTGCAGGGGGAAAGCCCAGCTTGGACTCTGTCTGCACCCTGCCTCTGGGTGGCCCCAGAGCTGACCCTTCTCATGTATTTCTAGGTGCCTTCATATTGGGCCCCCCTGCCTAGGACCCACATCTGAGACCAATCGGAATAAGGCCTAGCCCTGCCCACCAGCTCACAGTCAATTCCAGGCCCTCTGTATTGTCCACTCGGACCGTTGGCTTTCTCCTTGTTTCTGTCCCAGCATCCCCAGGCTTTGGCTACACGGTTTAGTTCTTCTGGATTTGACCCTGGAGTTTGGTAGGCCTTGGCCTGAATCTATCCTTCCTTTCTTCCTATTCCTTAGGGAATCATCCTGTGCTCAGGACCCTGGAACCCCGACTTACCAAGACCCTGTTCTTTCTGTCCTACCTCCTTTCAGAGTTTCTGGATGGCCCCCGCCTCCTTTCCTTTCTCTCCCTCCCACTCAGCAGGTCTTTCTGACCTTTCCTGCTGGGGACTTGACCTCAAGGTCAGCATCCTCCCCAGTTCTCTTGGCCTTTGAGAGGGCAAGTCCTTTTTCCCCTTAGTTCAGCAAGACGAGATTGCAACATCTCAGAAAGAACTTCCTAAGTAGAAGCAAATGGAAAAACCAACGTGAAAAACCAAAAGCAAAACACGGCCCCCTAGAAATAACCAGTTTACAGAGTTCAGATTTCCTGTCCTGAGCTAGAAAAAGTCTAGCCAGATTGACTGGCAAGCAGGCCAGGGACTCCTGCCCAGAACACTCCCTGGGTCCACTTCTATCCCATCTCCTGCACCCACGTGCCTCTTCCCTTCCCCTCTGAGGAGAGAGGCTGGTTGGCAAGTGAACAGAGGGGCTTTTTCTGCAGAGGAGCACTTCCAATCACGGAGAGCAGGGAGGAGGCAGCAGAGGGGGAGGAGGAACATTATAAACATCTCACACAAGCACCATGCACCGTACTTGGCGTTTTCCTTATATTATCTAACTTATGCCTCGTAACAATTCCATAATGTAGGTATTGACACTGTCGGCTCCTTACTGATGAGGAATCAAAGACACAGAGATAAGTAACTTGCCGGGGGTCATCCGATCCAGGAAATGGCAAAGGATCAGAACCAAGAGACTCTGATGCAGAACAGGTCCTCCTCAGCTTTTTCTCCCAAGCTCTGGAAGGGGAAAGATTTCATCTCCCCAACCCTTCCACCCCACCTGTGAAGCCCCCGCCAACCCCAATGCCTGCTCCCAACTCTCAGCCCTGAAGGGGCCGGAGAAGGGATGGATAGCGGGAAGGAGGGACACCATCGGCCTTCTCCACACCATCCTAAGGAAGAAGCCCCTCTGACAGGGTCTCAGCCCTGGACCCAGCGGTCCCGATGAGGTGGGCACTTACCCGGCTGGTGGCAGCTGTGGCTCCAGGGGTTGTGTTCTAGCCACAGGACCTCCTCTAGCTGCACTGCTCCTGCGTAAGTTGGGCGGCCCCTCAACGGAGCGTCGGGGTGCCAGCCTGGAGTTCTGGGGGTCAAATTCCTCTTCAGGAATGACCTCCTCACAGCGGGCTCCCCGGAAGCCAGAGCGGCAGACGCAGAGCTGGGGCCGACTGCAGGAGCCTCGGTTCTGGCAGGGCGGCTGGCACACGGCTGAGGAGACAGGGAGAGAAGTGACAGCAGGGCCTGGCACTCTTAGGCCACGGGATGCCCAATGCCTTCCCATCAGAAGCATCCCCCTGCCCCAGCGAGTGGCCTGAGTGCTGCCGGGCCCCTCACTCACCAAGGAAGCCAAACTCCTGGCCCCAGAAGACAACCTGGGCCCATTTCTCTCTTCCTTCTACCCAGAGGACTCCAGGAGTTTGTCTTTGGTTTTTGGACAAGACGTCAAAGACTGAATGACCAGAGTTGAGGATGGGCTGGCTCACAGCACTCTCTGCCGGGAAGCACCCCAGCTGGCAGTGTAGTTACACCTAAATGTCCACTCCTCCCCGGCTGAACCCCGTTGAGGGGAGACATTTGATTTTGTGCCCTCTGGTAGACCCAGGACTCAGATTGTCACAGAGTAGACTCTCAATCAATATTGAATAGATAATATCTTTTAAATTTTTGAATAAATACATATCTGTTACGGGAAAGGCCTCAACACTGGTATTACAGTTTGGATGTGAGATGTCCCCCAAAAGTTCATGTGTGAGACAATGTAAGAAAGTTTGGAGGAGAAAAGATTAGGTTAGAGCCTTAACCTAATGGGTGAATTAATCCCTGATGGGATTCACCAAGTGGTAATGAGGCAGGTAGGGTGTGTAGCTGGAGGAAGTGGTTCATTGGAGGCCTGGATTTGGGGTATATATTTTGTATCTGGAGAGTAGAATATCTCCACTTCCTGATCATCATGTGAGCAGGTCTCTTCTGCCACACTCTTCAGGCCCCGAGGAATGGAGCCTGCTGTCTATGGACTGAGACCTCTGAAACCATGAGCCCTCAAGTAAACTTTTCCTCCTCTATAGTGTTTTGGTTGGGTCATTAGTCACAGCGGTGACAAAGCTGAAACAACTGGCCTGTAAGTCAGATCCGAGTTGCTGGGTTTTTCTGTTGCTCATGAGCTGTGTGACCTTGACCCCACAGAGCCTGTTTCCTCTTGCATCACAGGGAGTGGACTGAGGAGGCTGGGAACTCTAAAGGGCCTCTCAAAGGCACCTTCAGCATAACGGTCTCTCCTGTCTCCTCTTCAGAGAACACCTGCTCTCCACCCCCCCAACAGGTCCACCTAGGGGTGAGGTGGGGCTGAAACTGGCCCTTGCTCCAATCCAACCCTGGGGAGCAGCCATCAGGCCATGACTTCTCTTTCCACTGCCTTTCTTCACCTTGCAAAGTTCAGAACCACAACCACTGATGAGCAATCAAGGGAGAGTCGCATGCGGAGGCCCACCTTGAGCCCTCCCCCTGCCTCCTGGAACCTCCTGGAGAACAGGTATGAGCCCCGGAGAGCATATTGGGCCCTCTAAACCCAATATTTCATCTACCTTTCACTTATTCACTCCATAAATCGTTGTTGAGCCCTACTGCGTGCTAGGTAGCGAGCACAATGTCCTTGCCCGTGTTGGGCTTACAGTCCAGTGAGGCAGACCAACTGCAGGCGAGAAAACAATAGCATGATAGAGTGTCGGGCAGTATCAAGGGCTGGGAAGACCACCAGGGCTAAATAACTGGGCGAGGCAGTGTTCGGGGCACTCAGAAGAGTGATCGGGGCCCCTCTCTGAAGAGTGAGGTGGAAGCAGTGCAGGGAGACCCAGGTAGAGGACTAGGCAGGCTCAAAGCCCTGGAGGCTTCCAGGAACCAGCAGGCTGGGTGCTGGGGAGAGGAGGGAGAGTAGGCATATCCATCCAGGGTCATTGAGAAAGCAAAGACATATACACAGACATATAATTGTCATTTCAATTATTCTAATCTTATTTGTGAAACTATCAGGTGTGCCTGGCTGACCCTTCCTTCCAAAAGGAGCACTAAAATCCACATGTCCTATGTCACTTGTCTCTCAGAGACCTTTAGTGGCCCCCCAGAACCCTCAGGAGACCAGTCCATAGACTGGCAGTGAAGCCAGTCTGACCCCTCTAACATTCCTCTAAGACAGGCTGCTCAGGCCAAAGTCGCCTCTTCTCTCTTCTTCCTGCCTTTGCACGTGCCATGTCCCCTCCCTGGAACACTTTTCTCTTTCCTGTGCACTTACCTAAGAGCTACTATACCCTGAAGGTCACCTCCCCATCCCTGATGACCCACCTCTCAGCTACTGTTCCCTCCTTCAAACAACAAGGAAAAGCACTTACTGTGCACAGCACTCGGTGGACATGCCCAGGCACAATGGCTTTTCACGTATGTGTCTCAATGTCCCAACCTATACGTCAGCCCCTCTGAATACAGTGCTTGTCCTTATATCTCTTTGTATCTTAAGCTCCAAGCATATGCCTCACAATGACCCAACCATTTTTTTTTTCATTATGGCAGTTACTGCCCAATGAGCACTGTCCAGGCATAGTGCTTTGTTAGACTATCTCATTTAATCCTCACAACAATCCTAGGCAGCAGGTGGGATGATTTCCAAGTACAGATCATGCCCCCCAAATTAACAGACTTGCCTAAGGTTGCCCAGCTAAATGATAATGGAGCCAGGATTCAAATCTGGGTCTATTTGAGCCAAGACTGACCCCCAGCAAGACTGGAGCGGCTGCTCTTCCTCCCCACTATCTCTAAGCCTTGTCCCAGAGCTGGTAATGAAACAAAGGGATCTGTTGGCTTCAAGTAGACCACCAAATGCACCCTGGAACCCTGTCTTGAAAAGCTGCCCCTCCCAGGTCAGTCCTGGTGGTGGAGACCCCAGGACCCCCGACCCCTCCAAAGCTCACACAGTAAGCTTGACATGATGAGGGCAGATGTAAATCAGCCCTTGCTGCCACTCTACGGCCATCTGTGAGCCTCACTAGGTGGGAGGCTTGAGACAGAGTCTCCAGCATGCCGTCTCCTGCAGAAAGCAGGACACACAGGCCATGGGACAAGTGCTGTGTCAGTTATAGCCCCTAATCCAGGCTGGATCAGGGAGTAGGAAAGTCAGGAAAAGCTTTCTGGAGGAGGTGCTGCTGGTCAGCAGCTCAGAGGGTGAGAAGAATGGACATCACCAAGGGACAGCCTGCCCAATCAGCAGATAGTAGGGAAATAATAGGTCTCACTGGAGGATTGCAACTCCTTCCCAGAAGGCCCCAGGCCCCCAGACCGTGCCAGACAATTGTAACCAGAGCACTTTCCAAGTACAAACTGCCACCACAGCAGGATATTGGTTACCACCTGGCTGCCACTCCATCTTCCTAAGCAGGCTTAGCCCCCACCTGACCACCCACCAGGCCCTTGTGACCACCACCACAGAACAGTCAGCTGGGGCCAGCCTGCTACAAAACCAAGACAGCTGGGCTCTCAGGGAGAAAGAGACCCTTACTAGATGGAGACCCAGACCTACTTAACAGGACCAGCTGTGCTTGTCTCTTTAGATAGATGAACAAAATCTCCAGCAAATGCTGCATCAGATCAACTAGAACAAAAACATATTCAATTTTAATGTCACCAGAGTCAAAGACTCATGTAATGGGCCCACAACTGGTTCATGGCTAGACTGCTTATCCAGAAATAAACATTCTGATCCCAAATATCAAAAGATTGACATAGGACTTTATTTTCACAAAAGTTTGCTTGGGAGCCTTCAGTTTTCTTCACAGGAAAATCATACATAAGTTCAGAGAGCTCAACCCTGGGTGTGTCACCAGTCTTCTCTTGTCTGAGCAGTGAAGGGTGTCTGCACACTGCCTTTGGGTATGTGCTTTGCTGTCCTCCAATAAATCTTTGCTTGTGACTTGCTTTTGACGCATACTGAAACTCTTTTCAGGGGCTAAGTTAGAATCCACACAGGCTGAACTGAGATTCCTCCACCCTCTTGGAGGGACCTTGTTCCATTCCTGTCCAGTGACAAAACCAAGGTCCATGAACACTGGGGAAGCAGATGTGCCCAGGACAACACTCTGCCTTGTTTTTCTTTTTAGGGAGGAGATGCAAGGGAAGGTCTGAGTGGATCCACCCCTCTTTGCCAGCAGAGGCCCAATGCCTGGCGTGGGTGAAAGGAGGGTCATACAACTCCCCCCTCTGAGCAGGTGATATAGCCCAAAAGATTGTCATCAGAAAGAGTCTAGTCTCCACTTTCTCCTCCTAAGCCCCAAAGATGGCTCATCCTTGACTTTAACAATAAGATCTTTTATTCTCTAGAAACTCAAGGACCCCAGTCCTGCAAGGTGAGCCCCTGTGCCTTGCTTTGACCTCCTAATTCTGGTCCTGCCTTATTTCCACCGACATCAATGAGCTCCTCCTCTCAATCAGACAGGTGCTGGGGGCACAGAGATGAGCAAGACTGAGCCCCACCCAGAGGCGGTCCAGCCCAGTGGTGGGCTTTCCGTGTGTGGTAGTCCCTTGCCCAACAGGGAACTCAGTCCTCAATGAGGACGTAGGTTGGTGCCATGAACAACTCAGGGTGAGGGGAAAGCTATAAAAAAAGCACTTTATGTATATAACATGGTAAATAAAAGTTTGAAAAGGCTTCCAAGCCAGGCAGTTGTGTTGGTGGGAAAAAATCCACTTGGGAAGGTAAGCCTTCAGGATCAGCCATCAAGGAGGGAGCCGGCGCAGAGGCCCCACTGGTGGAGAATCCTCCAGCAGCTGTCAGGTTAGCTGTCATAGGTTTTGAACCAGCTCTCACCGGCTTCACCTACATCCTATCACGTGTGTCTTGTCTTGTGTGGTTTTCACAAGTCTCAGCAAGTGTTCAAATGTTTAGTTCTGAGCTGAGCATATGCACTGTGGGACTGGAGGGTAAACTCTTTTCTCTACTCCCCCCAAACCACCCCAAATGGCCCACAATGGGGGCTCCAATTTAAACCAAGGCCTTGTGTATGCTCTGCCAGTAGCTCTACCATCAAGCTGCATTCCCAGTCCTTTTTTTAAATTTCATTATTGTTATTTTTGTACTGGTGAWTTAACCCAAGGCCTCCAGAGCACTGCTGGGCAAGCACTCTACCACAGAGTTATCTACCTGGCCTGATATTGGTTTTTCTCATTTA